CTGTCGGTTGGGTGGGTGGATCTCATGGCTGTTAGTAGAGCTGGAGCTGGAGCTTCATCCTCAGTGCTTGGCCCAGCTCCCCTGCTAAGTAGTTGAGGTGGTTCTTGGCCTCTAGTTTCTGCAGTTCCCTCTTGCGGTACAGGGGCACGCTCACGATTTCCAGCAGGTAGGTGCCAGGCACGATTTTCTTGCGGCCGAGGTGCAGGTAGCTGAGCCCCTCTTTTTGGTGGATGCGGAAGTAGCCATCCTCGTTGCCGTGGGAGATCAGGTACCGCACACGGTTCTCCAGGGGCTCCACGGCTGGCAGGAGCTCCAGGATGTGCTCCTTGTGAGCCAGGTCAGTGAGGTTCAGCGTCATGGACAGAGGAGCATCCACATCCATGCTGGCCAAGTTCACAGTGTGATCCTTCGGAAGGAACCAGGCGTGTTACTTACAGACACCAAGAAAGGCTCATGGCCAGGTGAAGGAGCACTTGATTTAGAGGAGTTCTGCCCCATGGGCCACCCCAAAGCAGCTCTGGGAAGTGTCTACAACTTCTGTGGTCCTTGCTTTCCTTCAAGCATTTCTTGGCACCCTATTTGTGAATGTGAGACCGAACTAGCCAGTACACAGCCCTCCTCTTCAGGAGAAGAACCAATACCTTCAGAGGCATTTTCTTCCCAAGGCCTGAAGAGCCCATAATGACCTCCCAGTTGAACCTGTCCTGCCCAGGCCTGTGAACCTCTTGAGGGAGTCTCAGACAAAGAACTTCCCTCCAAGCAATAACCTGCATTTATAGTGACAGGTCTAGTCTGGAGTCAGACAGTAAATCCTGACAGTTCTCTGTGGGAACTGCTCTCCCATCAGCTCCCCTTGCAAGGAATAATCTGTTCTTTTTTCTCAGTTGCAGCAATCTCCAGCCATCTATGGCCAAACCACACAAGAGGGCATCACTTAAGCTGTCCTGAACTCCTCTGATGGTGAAAGACCACCTATTTCTGCAGGACTTCTGGACTCAGTGGCACCCAAAACCACCCAAGCATGCAGCACGGGCAGGCACAGAGTGAGCTGCGGGCTCTGGCTGGACTGAGGCAGCCCCACAGGAACGAGCTCACTGCTCGGGATCCACTCCAGGCAGCCACTCCCCAGGTGACCCAGCTCTTGCCTTGTTCCACCCCACCCAGGATGCCACAGGTTTCTTACCTGGTGCTTCTCGGTGCCATTGACACTGCGTCGCTGCCGACCCCTCTTGGGGTAGCCGTTTATCTTGCACTCATAGCAGGTTTCAGGGGAGAGCAGGTTGTCTTCATCCTCCTCTTGGGGGGCAGGAAGGTAGGTACCTTTCCCGAAACCCATGCCAGAAATGCAGTGTCTGGTGGCAGAAGAGCAGAAATGCCCATGTCAGAGTCATGTTTCAAGAAGGAAATCTTACCGTTCTCCTCAAAGGTTCTCCATGGGGCACTCAGAAACACACGGAGGATCATGCTCGGGTTTAGGACGTGGCTTGTATGAGGGACACACCTGAGAGAGATCTAAACAAGATGCAGCCAGCAGGTTTAATCTGCCCACACCCTGGACTGGATGGATTTGCAGAGCATCTGCTGCAGTGCTAGCAACTGCAGTAACTGTTGGATTAGTGAGATGGAAGAGGAGACACACATTAGCACGAGGATCTTGTGATGGGTGAGGAACAGCCTGGCACGGAGAAGCTAAGGACTCCTGCGGAAATGGGAGCTTACTGGCTCCTGGGTGTGTCGGTGGCAGAGAGCAGAAGTGTGGTGATGGAGCATGTCTGGGGCCACCACGCACCTTGCAACATCCCCCAGGAACATGTACCTGCTGGCTGCTCTCTTACCCTTGTCCTGCTCGGAAGTAGCCCCCAGGGCAGCCGCAGAGATAGCCTCCGTCCGTGTTGGAGCAGCCGTAACTGCAGGGGCTGCCTCCTGCCGAGCATTCATCCACGTCCTGGCACCCACCAAAGGCTTGGTCAAAATCGAAGCCGGACGGGCAGACGCACTTGAAACTTCCCAGAGTGTTGTAGCAGGAGGCGGAGCCACAGGTTGTGGGGCTGGAGCATTCGTTCTCATCTGCACCCAGAGACAACAGAACTAGTCAGAAACTCAGCGGAAGGGAGCTCTGGAGCTCCCCACCCTGCCCGGACAAGGTGCTGAGCTGGCAGCAGCTTGGCCACCCATGAGACCTCTTCCCATGCAGGTCTCTGAAGGACTCCTGCACCGCAGGGAGCTGCTGGCTCCAGGGGCGCTGGGAGCTCATCATTCTGCTGAGCGGCTTCCTGACATTCTCTGGGGCAGGGCAGGATGGTCAGCGCTGGGTTAGCACCCACACTCCAGTGTCAGACATGGCCAGGGGTGGCTGGAGAAGGACTCGGGGCTCAGTCACCCTCCTTTCCCCACCCCACACTCACCCACGCACTGGTTCCACTGGTAGTGCTGGACGTAGCCCTGCGGGCAGCCGCAGCGGTAGAGCACGTTCTGGCAGCCGTGCTGGCACCGATGGTTTCCATCGCACTCGTCCACATCTGCAGCAACGTAACACAGACGGTGATGAGAATCTCCTCCCTGTCCCGCGGGCAGCACCGGCTGCGCAGGGACCACGGGCACAGGGCAGCCAGCCCCTGTGAGGGTGCTCCCGCGGGGGGGCGGGTTTTTCGCCTAATTATGTCTCGCAGCTCGGAATTGATTAACACCCTCAGCACCAAGGCCCACACTCAGCCCCTTGCAGCCCTTGCTTGGGTGGTTTTTGATTTAGTGTCTCATCTGTGATCGGATCTGCTCTGCTTCAGGCTGCCCGCGCTGAACACAGGCTTTTCTTTAGCAGAGCACTGGTGGGGTTTGGCCGGCACGAGATCACGCCGATGAGATACAGGACCATTCCTTTCCCAGCCTCGGCTGCTACGGCTGGAG